TGAAAATAGTCTGCTTGACACCATCATTGTCCCTTTACATCAGCAAGAGCTTAATGGAACTTATAGTTAAAGACGCACATGAATGACTAATCACTATTAGAAAAATGTGCTTTCAAATTCAGATATTGTTAATCTAGTAAAGAATGCAGATGGATAAATGATGTGAAAATCTGTGCTAGAGGAGAATGTAACCTATTTTACACCATAGTCAAAAATATAGACTGAATTTATGATTTTGATATTAAGGTTCATTCCCAAATGCAAACTTAGTTGACAAATAAAAATTATTTCAGTGGGGGTTTTTTCTCTATTTTGCTCTATGAATAAATATATAGAGAGATAAATCATCTAAATGGCAGTGTGTTTGGGATTGTTGCATTCCAAAGGTAATCTTACCACAACAAGTGTGGTTCCCCAAAGCCTTGTTATACGTGGTCAGGCAAGTTAATGATAGAACGGTGTCTCACATTAGAAAAAAAAAGCTGTAAAGCGATCATTGTGGCGACTGACGCGCCATAAAGGGAACAGCGCAGCTGGGGATGCGAGTAATGTAACACACACACACACACACACACACACACCTGTGCCTGTCACAAACAGTGGCTTTGTCTTATTATAGCCGAACCACAGCTCTGTCTATTGACGTCCATTCTTGTCTCTGTCATGTCATATCTTCTAGTTCATTCTTTCAGAATGGAATGATCTAACAGAAAAGAAGGATGAAAACAATAGGTGTGCAAGAAAAAACTAAATATGTAAGTGAAAGCTGTCTGGAGTGAATTTATAGCTGCTGACGACACTAAAATACTGTTTATAATATAGTTAAACTGAATTTTAATTATGATAAGGTCCTGAGAACCAACATTACATCACTACATCATCGCCACATCAGACCCCAAACATGACTGTATTAGGTGAGCTATAATGAGTAAGTGGGCGGGGTTTAATAGAAACTGGGCGGGGCCTGATGCCTCAAGATATAAATGCCTTCCCACTATCCCTGGCTGAGTTTGGTCTCTCTCCACTTTACTCCCTCTCTCTCTTTCTCTGTCCACGTTCCTCGCTTGACCAGCTCCTGTTCCTAAACCACTAGCCCTCATCTACTGCACTGCCACTTTCTGTTTCTGGTACCGTAGGACCCTACTCACAGACGCCAAGATGGAAGCCGTCAAGAAGAAGATGATGATGCTCAAGCTGGATAAGGAGAATGCTCTGGACCAGGCCGAACAAGCAGAGACCGACAAGAAAGCAGCAGAGGACAGAAGCAAACAGGTGAGGCGGAGGTGGAAAGGTCAAAGGTTGAGAAAACTAAAAATTATTGACTAAATGGGACAGGTTGGAGATGCTTCATTTCAGTGCTGATGTTTAGAGAGAGCTTTTTAATTTGGGGGACCAAATGTTTAATAATTTAAGATGTGGTTTGAATGCTTAATGCACCACAGACCCACTTTTTTCCTTCTGGACCAAAACCGATCTGAATATGAGACAAAGATCTAAGTCATTTTACAATGTGTAAATTTGTTAAAGGCATAGTCCACCCAAAAATGAAAATTCCCAAACCTGTATGACCTTCGTTCTTCTGTGGGAAACAAAAGAAGATATTTTGAATGTCCCATTGACTTCCTTGGTTACCAACATTCTTCAAAATATCTTCTTTTGTGTTCCACAGAAGAAAGAAAGTCATACATGAGGGGAGTAAATTATGCCAGAACTTTCGCTTGGTGAGATGGTGGCAACATATGATAAAAAAGTGCCTGTCCCAAGCTATGGAGTCTCTGGAACATGTTCCACACTAGTGAAGGGAGGCAGGAAGGAAGGGTGAAACAGGAAACGATGATGCAACTTGATTTTGCGTGCTTTTCTACAGCAGAATGATTCAGGATCAGTCAACATTCCTTTACCTTTAACATTGATCTGAGGCTAAACCTTTAGGGTCTATCAATATTAAAAGTCTTTCAAGTAAGAATTACAAAATCAACATATAAAACCATAGCCTAGGGCATACTTTAAACAGTGTTCAGGACACAGTGTACGGATACCAGAAAGATTGCACAGACAGGCAGGCAACATTACTATAGTCTTGTTCAGTTTTGCCCAGGCCTGTGACTTCAGCTTGTTCACTGGATTCTTTTTAATGACCTCATGTAATCCAGTGGGTAAATTCTATAATGGAATCTTTCAATAGTCTTAAATCGAAATCACAATGTCAGACTATTTGAATTAACAGAAAGATACAGTTACACATTGTTCAAATCTCTCAATTTCATAGGTATTCCTCAAAGGTTATTAAAAAAAACTTAACTCAACACAGTTCAACATAACACAACACAAATAATCTATAGATAATAACTATGGCAGACCCATATACTAGAAATCTGCCAATATTTTTACTACCAATACTGGTTATTTTTGTTTATATATGCAGAAGAAATTGTGATTATTGATTTATCTCTACTTCTTTTACACAAAAAGTAAATAATCATTAGACTACAACAATACAAACATAACATATACTATAAAATGAAAGTATTTAAATGTAATAACTGATATTACATGTAATCATCAATGTTGTAATAATAATAATGATGATAATAATAAGTATTATTATGGTATGAATATTGGTTAAAAAATAAAATATAAGTCAAAGCATTTGGTCTGTTTCTATTACAGGCAAGCCAACAACAGATTTATCAATGTCCACGCTTGTGTTATCACTCCAATGCGGCCTTCTGTCAGACATATTGACACATGAAAATATATTACTGTGGTTTTGTCATTTCTCTGAATCAGGGTTTGTTTGCTCAAGAGCACAGGAACTTACTGTGACTCCGACAATACACGTAATGACTAGTAAAGGATTTGTAACACTCCTTGTTCTTGTTTACAGCCTAAATATGCCAGACATAATTCAGTGGATGCTGATTCTGAAGTATTACAGATGACACATAAGACCAAAACACATCATTTTTGTTGTCCGAAAAGCACCAAAATGTAATAATTAATCATTTCATAATGATATAGATACTAATTGATTGTGTTAACATTGATTTGCTTAATTAATTTGCATTGATTGTGTTAACATTAACCCCTTTGGCTTGCTTAGTTGGGGTTTAAAGACATATAATATCCAGTAATATCATTGATTTGACTGCACAGACACTATTGGACATGAACAAAACTTGGACTGAACTGAGTTGAATGATGCCGCTATTGTCTAGTTGCTTTACAACTGAATCAAATTTGTTAGTAATTGACAAATTTTGTAACATCAACTGATATTGAACTGAACTGAATCAACATTGAGCTGACTCAAGCTGAATAGCAACATTGTTGTCTTTTAGAGCTACTTTACAGCAGAATTTAGATTTGTCTTATATTTG